GTATAAGGAGCCGTGGTTTGATGTATTATTCTAGTTGATTCAAAATAAACTGGATCATAATACTCACCACCCCTATCAGTACACAAGACTTTTTTTTAATTCATTTTTATGAAGCTCAACTTTTTGTTTATAAATTTTAAATTTATCAAGTGCTTCATCCTTAGAATGTAGCAAATAGATATTACAATATCTAGATGCATCATCAATAAAAGTAACAACATACCTTTTGTTTCCAAGAAAGGTGTTGCATGGAAATCACATAAATCACTATGTATAAGATCTAACTCCTTGCTTTCTCTAACAACATCTTTGAAAGGTTGTCTAGTGATTTTAGTTAGCATGTATGTTTTACATTTTCCATTATTTTGCATATCAAAACCAAGAATTCAACTCATTTTATACATGTCTTTTAATCTCTTGTAATGAACGTGTCCTAGTCTAACATGCCATAATTCAGAGTTATTAAAATTATTGCTAGTACTAGTAGAAGCCATGCAAACATAATTATCAATAAAAGGATAATTAATATTAAGTCTGATCATTCCATTACATACATATCCAAATCCCATAAAAAAGCATGTATTGACAACATATACTTGTCACTTTCTAATACTTGTTTGTAACCACAATTATTTAAAACAATTTTAGACATAAGATTCTTTTGAATCCCCGGTACATATAAAACATTATTTAGACACAAACACTTTCCAAAAATAAAGTAAAGTAAAATAGATCCTCAACCCTTGATTGGTTCATTTGTAACATTTCTCATTTTCACCACAAATCCATCTTCAATTGGTTAACATTCCTTGAACCAGCGACGATATTTACATATATGGCTTGTTGCTCCCTAATCAACCCACCATGCAACATCATCATCTTGCACATAAAATGCTTCATAAATCACAGAAATATAATTATGAACATATTTAGAATTCTGCATGGAAACAATAATCTAACCTTGTTGCTTTTCTGGATCGTTAGATCCACTTGGTCCAGCACCATCATTGTTCACTTTGCGAAGACGACATTATTTCTTGAAGTGACCCAGTTTGTTACAATTCCAACAAACCAACTTAGCCTTCTTGTTGAAAGACTTTTCATCCTTTCCTTTAAACTTTCATTTCCATTAGACTTCTTGGGATTCTTTGAACTTTCTCCTTCTACCATGTTCACAGAAAAGGAACCAACTTGGTTCTTCCCTTTAGGATTGTTGTCAAGTTCTTGAGTCATTATGGACTCTTCAATCCTTAAATGGCTTCCAAGTTGAGTCAAAATCAAATCCTCTTTGTTATGTTTCATATTGTGTTTAAAATCTTTCCAGGAAGGGGGTAGTTTGTCAATGATCACAACCACTGAAACGACTTCATCCATTTTCAAACTGTGTTGAGCAAACTCTCCCAGAATCCTTAACATTTCATTGAATTTCTCCATAACAGGCCTGGAGTCAATCATCGTGTAACCCATAAAGTTACTAACAAGAAAATTCTTAATAGAAGCATCTGCAGCCATGTACTTGGATTCGAGAGAATCCCACAGTTCTTTTGCAGATTCGAAAATTTTGAGAGATATGAAAAAGAGAGTCAGACATACCAATGAGAATATGACCACGACATATGTAATCATCATTTTCCCATTTTGATGTTCTTCTTGTTGCCTCCAAATGTTCATCTTCAACAAATTCTGGTAAGACTGGCATGGGTGTACTCAAAACGTACACCACTTTCAGAGTGGTAAGGAGAAACTTCATCTTCTTCTGCCATCTACGGAAATCTTTCCCTTCAAACTTGTTCAGTTTTTCAAACTTACTTGTCATTTCCTTCACATAATTACCACTTGCCATCTTCTTCTGTCGCCCCTTGGACTCTGCTCCGAGGGGCGCTGCCCCGGACCCCTGTCAGTTCAGGGGCTTCATCCTAAACAAATGTTCACTCCGCACCATACCAATTTGTTCAATAGTTGACAAAGTGACATTGATCAACATATTAACCCCATTACACTTAAATAACATTAGTGATATAAAATAACCAAAATTAGTGTCACTATTACCGAACATTTATGTGTCCGCCACTCTTCATGTTTGTTGTGGAAACAAATTAAAACAATTCATTTTAGGACTTATCAAACTAACCCCATATGTAATGCAAGTTTTAAGAGTTGTAGATAAGTTAGAAAAAGATCCTGTACAAATTGTTGTACATATTGCAGTTATAGATTTTGTTGATATTGATGATGGTGGAAAGGAAATTATAAGGGAGATGCCACCTTTTGAAGCTGAATCTGCAATTGAAAATTTAGTTAAAGAGCAGGTGAAGTTGAGACTAGACAAGCTGAAAGAGTGGGTTGATAAAAATCACCAACAAAAGGTGAGTTCATTAAATAGCAACGTACTTTGATTTTTAGTCACAACATAAATCTATTTTTAATTTCTTTGTAACTATAACTATCATTGACCTGGAAAATGTTAGATTAGTTACTAAAAGTGGGTTGGTATTATGAGTAAAACTTAAAATGTTATTAGGTTTTTTTTATCTTTTAGTAAATACTTGATGTCTAGTTTGCAAGTGAAGCTCCTAAAATGTTTAATTAATATCCACGCCTCAGTACATTATATTAATGTTTATCCTGTTATAACAAAGTAATTTGACATTTGAAGGGTTAATTATGAGAAATAAAAAGATACTCTACCTAAATTCCCAGTTATAGCCACATAGTTTGAATTTAATCATAATAGAAATCTACTTCGATTTTGTTTGTGATTATAACCAATGACCCATAATGTTCCTCCTATACATTGTAATCGGGAATTATGGTAAAGTACATTGTAATTATCTATTGAAAGTTACCTACTATTATGAGTAAAACTTATGGTTTCATTAAATTGGATTCCTTTTAGTGAAAGTGCATGTATAGTTTGGATTTGGCGCCTCTAAAACAATTGATATACATGAACCACTACAATAAATTCATGTTTACCCTATAATACAAAAATAAATTGACATTATAATTTTTAAGGTTTAATAATTGTGAGAAATAGGGATGTAGTTTACTAAAATTTTCCATTATAGCAAAATACTTTAAGTTCTAAGTTTTTAATAATAACAAAATTCTACTTTTGTTTTTTTCTTGAGATTATAACGACCAATGACTTGTCACCTTGATATTATTGGAAGTTTTGGTAAAGTAATTTGCTATTATCTATGAAAAAAGTAGGTTGCTTTTATGAGTAAAACTTAAAGTGTGATTAGATCGAATTTCTTTTAGTAAATGCTTCATGTCTAGTTTGCAATTGATTATTTTAAATTGTTTAATATTCATGCCTCAGTAGTCAGTATAATATATTTAAAGTTTCTCAAGAAAACGTATAATTTACCCAAGAAACTATGATGATTTGTTTGTGAAAAAAGTGGTTAGATTGTGTACAATTGATCTTGGAGTATCTTTTCTGTTGAAGACAAGGGAACATGTGAAGATTGATTCATCACTGCTAAGTGTTAATATAGATTCATGGGCTCTTTTTTTTAACATGTACATTTTCTAGGATGGAGTTGTGACTATTTTATTTTGACAGGAGTATTTTTTCTCTATTTGGGAGATCCTTTTAAAGATAGGTGTAGTTGGGCATAAAACGGTTGGTATTAAATTCATATTAGGTATTTGTTACTATGTTAGCATTTAGGGTTTAGGCCGAAGTCCCTTAGGGTTTAGGTTAGACAAATGGCCCCTTATGTATCCCTATTTATATGAGGTTTAACCCTCAATATTAATTGATCAATCTTTTATCTTACACCATATCAGAGCTCTAGGTTAAAACTCTACTACTGACCTCAACTCGTAGCCATCGCCGTCCACATCCGATGACATTCTCTCATAGTCGTCAGAGGCGACTTCATTATGCTCGATATTTTTTCCTCCTAAAAAATAAAGCAACCATCGGCACTAAACCAAAGCTCTTTTAGCGGCTTCTTCTACTGCCTCATTTGGTTATGCCTCCTCCTAGGATGGCCCCTGCCTTCGAGCCTTCTGCCTTCTCCTCAACTCATCTCTTTTCTTCAGATCTATTTTCCGAGTCAGAATAGGCTCTGTCCGTGGCAACTCACACTCTATTTCTTTCTCGCTGCTTTTCTCCGGACACTGTACCACTGGCTTCATAATTGTTGTCACCATCGCTTCTCTCTAACCACTGTTTTTCTCTTTCTTTCTCTGACGAGTCGCTGCTATTAGCCACCATCGTCAGAGCTCTTCCACCGCTGTTGCTGTTGTCTTCATTTATGTTTTATTTTATTTTCCAGTTTAATCGGCTCCTCTCGATCAACGTGTCACGCGCGCAGGGAGGGGGGGGGGGGTTAGTATGTTATCATTTAGGGTTTAGGCTCAAGTCCCTTAGGGTTTAGGTTTGGCCAATGGCCCCTTATGTATTCCTATTTATATGAGGTTTAACCATCAGTATTAATCGATCAATCTATTATCTTCCGGTATTTATTTATGATTTTGTATTGGCTTCGGTTTTGGTTGTTATCTGGTATGAATTATTGATTTGTTAAATAGGATTTTGGATTTCTTGGGTGTTATTGATCAATGATGTTACTTTTGTGACAAATTTGTTGCCTAAGCTTGCACAATTGTGGCTGTGAGGGTAGTTACCAACCCACAACCTAACATCTCTTACATGTCTCATTGTAGTTTCACAGAGGAGGCATTTAATACACAATTGAAACTTTTTATCAAGTTTGCCATCCTTATATCAACGTCTGAAAAAATTTGCCATTGATAAAAAATTGAAACCACAATTTCTTTTTCAAGAAAGAACGAGAAAAATAAAAACATAAGAACATGAGAATCCTGAAAGCTAAAAGATTTGATGCAAATCACACAGACAGGTAACAAGTACCAAACTAATGATGACTTAATTCTAGATTTAAATAATAAACCATAAGAAGCTTGGGTAGATTTATTGAGTACACAATCAGCAGATCCACAAACTTTTCAAATTATAGTTACTACCAAAGATTCATTAGAACTTGAAGAAGCTGAATGAATCCTGACTGAACCACTAGGTATCTGACTCTTTGGTAATGCATGCCACTTATCAATGTACCCCATCGACTCCATGTATAAGTTGGGAAGTTGGCGTTTTTAAGCATTTTCAGGATCTTTATGGATCTACCAAGAAGCTGAGCTGTAGTTCTGACGTTATCTTCCCTTTTCTCTATTGCATCTTCATGATACTTCATAGTTATGACATGTGGTTAGTTGGTAAAGCAAGCACATAACGGATTTGCGATTATGGTTGATATCCACTCAAAAAGCTCCTCATCTGTTGGCCAATTTTCTTGCCCATTGCAGTGTATGGTTTGCTTGATCTTGTACATACAACTTACAGCAATGAACTTACAAAGTGAGTGATCTAGACTTACATTTTTCCTTGTCTTGAACTGTATCACAATTTTTGCTGCTTCATCACACAACCATTGGAGAATCTCCTTTGGCGTTTTTCCTTTACGAGCCTTATTTTGAAGATCAATTTGTAGCCACCTGCAGTATACTTCAACGTTGGTCCACACCTGTCTTGCTGCTTTTCTTGCCTTTACCAATTCACCGTTTGCATTGAGGCTTTCTTCGATATGTGTTACAAACTGGAGACCTTCCCTCGTACTAGCAAGTAATCCCTTCACATGATAGCTTGCAGTTTTAGGAAGTGAAAGGGCAACGACAGTTAATGTTACTACTACTAGGCTCCGACAGCTCTGGATTTCTTCTGGATGTGAGAGCGGGACTTGCTCATTGTCGAACTCTATTACTCCATAGAATCCTGTAGATTTCTTGAGAAACGTCATAAGATTATCCAACTCTTTCTTTTCAGACTCATGAAGAAGTCGAGTCATGGAATTGAGCATGTTTCTTAATATTTTCTTTGAAAGCTTTGCCTTCACTTCAATTTGTAAGATATAACCAACATATTCTTCCATCTCTTATCTCATATGGATGTTATATTCATCTGATTCTTCTTTAAAGCTTCTCAATAATGACTTGCAGAAATAGTAAGTACAACATAGGAAGATCATAAAAGTTATGGGAATGAGGCATATTATGTTCCATATAACCACAACCGTTATCTGAACTGCAATAAAAATGTTCAAGATCATGTTTTTGATGTTATGAAAAACCATTTTGCAATGGCGTCCTAGGATATGTGAAGAGACATGGCTGCTTTTCCACATCTGAAGCCTTTGGATCCATTGCTTCTCCACTCGGAACACATTTAGTCTAATGCCTTGAAAGGCGTCAGCTGCCATTGCAAGAGTGCAAACCAGACTTGCTATGCAAATATACAATCCCACCCACGGCATGGCTTCAGTAGGAGATTTCCAACCCAATCTACTAGACAAGAGATCGAAATGGAAAATTTTAAGTGCTGAGCGATGTAGCGGTTTTTATTTTGCATACTAGCGGTTTATGTAAAATTCCTCCACCTTTCCTTATTAAGGGCTGGACAATTGCTGATGTAATTAAGTAGGTAGTTGGTAGCCTTTTAAAGACATGACCCAAAGTAAACGAATAATGTTGCTAAAGCTTGACCAAAAGACTTGACCCAAAGTAAACGCATAGTGTTGCTAAAGCTAGACCAAAAGTAAATACATTATGCATCCATCAAATATCCTATTAAGAAAAGAATTCATTTAATTGACTGACTGTAAAAATAGGGAAATTAAGTAATGTAACAATATTTTAATGTGTATTTAAACAAAATAACCATAAAAAAAATATATTTAGTCCGGACCAAGAAAAAACATTTTTTTTGACAAAAAATTACATTTTGGACTGAATGTGGAACAACTTTGTCTGAATTTCTGATTTGAAAAAAAACACTTGTAATTTCAAGAACAAGTCCGAAATTTGATGAACAATTCCAGAATTCTGAAGAAAAACTTTGTTTTTTAACTTAGGGCATCCACAATGGGAATTTAATAGGAGTTGAATGAATGATGATTAGGAATGAATAGAGGTTGAATGTAACTATAATCATTATCTGAAGTGCTATACAAGAGTTCAAAATATCATTTCAGATATTATGGAAAACATTCTTGCAATGGCGGCCGGGGATATGCGTCGGGACAGGGCTGCTTTTCCAAAGCTAAAGCCATTGTATCCAATGTTTCTCGACTCGGAACACATTTAGATGGTCCTGCACCATTTCATGGAGAGGCTGAAATGAGTGGTGGCAGTCAAGCATCTGAAAAATTGGTGCTATACTACCTACTATTGTCCCAATTAATTTCAAGGTAAAAATCACATTGATTGACTACTTATAATCTGATTTATCATTTTGATAACCCCAAAAGCAGAAGACACAGGTGAACAAGCAATTGCAAATTAGGGGTTACCAGTCTCTGTCATTATCCAATACTTTTTAACATAATGAATGAGTCGCTTGTTGGAGAAGTTTATCTCTTGATGATTAGAATTAGGAATCAATATGTGCAACTCCTTGTACCATTGTTGTCAAACTCTTCTAGATGCTGAAACCATCAAGGCTACCGAAATTGACAATAGAACTAAAAGAATCAATAAAAAGAATAGTGTTCTGATTACCAAATATAGAATCAATAAAGGCATTATTGTAAAACTAACATATTTACAATAATGGTGAATATGAGGATACACAAGGCCACAGTATTCTGCAGAAGTTCCTTGTCATTCATAAGCCCTAAAATAGGGACCAAGAACATAATGCTGACAAACTTTGCTCCAATCCCTAGTCTGTCAGAATTGTTGGTGCTTAGATTCAGTGGTAGCTTTGTTGATATTGTTATCACTGTAATCGAAACATCGTTGATGGTAAAAAAATCTGCATCGAAAACAGAGCTTCCGTTGTCGAAAGCCTCGGAAGACATCGGCTGCAATTGCTAGAGTGCAAACCAGAGATGCTGCACAAATATACAATCCCACCCATGGCATGGCATCTGCAGGGGTTGTCCATGTCATCTTGCTAGACAAGAGAAAATGAAGAGTTAACTTGATCTAGCAATACAAAACCTAACTGATGCTTGATATATATACATAAAAGTTCAAGAAAGATTTTTATTTAATTTGATCAAGGAGAATATTAAAGAAACAAACTAGTGAGAAGCTAGACAGATATTTCCGGGAATCTGTTGACAAGACTTCTTATTTCCATTTTAGCCGGTTTGTGTATTTTTCATGCCCTTTCCTTCTCAAAGTACTTGATAGCTATTGATGTATCCAGCATAATGTAGCTAAGGGCTTAGGCTTGATCAAAGATCTCTGTGACCTTATATATATATATATATATATATATATATATATATATATATATATATATATATATATATATATATATATATATATATATATATATATATATATATATATATATATATATATATATATATATATATATATATATATATATATATATAGGATTAGGTTCACGTGAGACTGCCTAATTTTGTGAGACTGGTAAGACACAATCCTAGCCACTCATTTTGTAGATAAAAAAAATTTAAATGCAAAATAATTAAAAATTTTTGAAATTTTTTTTTTCAAATATTATTTTCATCATTTATATTTTCCAAAAAAAATTATAAAACATACCAAAAAAAATAAAAAATACCTTTTTTTACATATTCTAGTAGAATATTAGAATATTTTACATATATGACAAATCTAGTAAAATATTATAACATTCTAAAAATCACATTAAAATATATACAGTGTAATATTATATTAGAATATTTCACGTATTAAAGTGACGAAAATAATAATTAAATTCTTTTATTCGGATTTTTCATTTTATTTTGTATTTTATAATTATTTTTAGATTTGCTCGTACGATCTAACAAAATTAGCATGTCCCAAATGAACCTGAACATATATATATATATATATATATATATATATATATATATATATATATATATATATATATATATATTACACGTATGTAATATTATTATGTAGTGTGATGTGGTGCGGGTTGAACCACAATTTAGTAATTAAAAACCGCACCGCATAGTATGGTTTGAAAAAATTACGAACCGCAAACCGCACCACGATAGTTCTAAACAACATTATGCAGTGTGGGCGGTTTGTGCAGTTTATGTGGTTTGATGAACATCCCTAACACATGCACTTGAAATCAACCAGTCAACTTTCATCTAACTTTCACCTTTCACTATAACTTTATAACCTTCTGGTAAGTCTCTACATGCAATCAACTCCTCTAACAACAAACCCCTCATGAAAAATACTCGTCTAAACTTCGTGATTCTACACTACTACTACTGATCAATGAGATTTTAGCTAGAGTCGGACTAAGAAGAATCATTGTCTTATAGAAACCCAAAAATTCTTTGAATTCAAGGGTAAGTCTCTAAAATTGTTGTTTTTGATGATCATTCAGTGTACTGTAAAAAGAATATTATGTGGATGCTTCATTATGCATGTCTTCTTCTTGCCATATAACAAAAATGAAAAAGTGCATGCCTTCAATTTGCACAGAGTTACAACAATGCAAGTTTTTTTTTTTTTAAATTTTTTTTTAAATATATATATATATATATATATTTTTTTTTTTTTTTTTTTTTTTTTTTTTTTTGTCAAAGGAGCTCATCTAATTATGAAAGAAAGATAAATTGAGAAAAAAAGGGGATTCCTTGAAACAAATCACCTGTAGAGCCAACACCAACAACCAACTTGGAATTGTTTGTTGAATCAGTATTAGAGTTGAAGGTATATATCAGGGATGAATCGTAAGTTCACTAATTCTTTGAAGTATAGAAAGCCTTCTTAAAGTCCAAAATTTTGACACAATGAATGTAAAAATTTGGTTGCCAACCATGGCATCAGGAACATAATCCATCTCAGTGAAAATACTAAGAGGGTGTTTGGATAAATTAGCTTATAGCGGTAAGAGAAAGCAACTTTTTTAAAAGTGTTTGGATTAGAAATAAACAATAAGTTATAAGCAAGGGGATGCTTATTAAACTTAGCTTATTTAGCTTATTCCTACAACAATAAGTTGATTTTTAGTGTTTCCTATCCAAACACTTAAACTTGATACTGGTAAGGATAAGCAATAAGCTATAAGCACCCTCTTTTATTCCCTATCCAAACACCCTCTAAACAAAATCATCATAATCCTTTTTTCTTACGATACCCACTTGCAATTACATCAAGAACTACGATCTACAGAGGTTGGTTTGACTCGATAAATAAAGGCCTTTTTGATGAAATTTCGTGATTCTTGAACATTTCCCTCTCTCCATAGTGCTTGAATGACATTCTTATAGGTCGTATATTTTTCTGCTATGCCCATCACAAGTCTCCCTCAATTTATGCTCATACTCTTCCAATATTTTAGCTAACACTTTCTACACTCTAAAACAAGAGATGAGAAGAAAGAAGAAAATTGCACAAAGATGGTTCACGAACGATATGAAGTGGGCTTTATGGCACTAGCAAATCACCAATCGTTGGAGTTAGGGTAAATTACCTGAATGGTCCTTATGGTCTGAGGTAATTTCTTCTTTTGGTCTCTAACTATTTTTTTAACGCAGACAATCCTAACTACATACTTTTGTTGCGTTTTTGGCCCTTACCATATGTAAATTGACTATATTACCCTCATCAAAATTTTATATTTTTATTTAGGGTAAATTACACGAATGGTCCTTGTGGTTTGGGGTAATTTGCGTGTTTGGTCCCTAAGACTTTTTTCTAATTTGGAAGGCCCTCAAACATTATTTTGTTGTGTCTTTGTCTTTCGTCCCTATTAAATATAAAAAGACTATTTTGCCCTTAATATAGATTTTTTATTTTCTTTTATTTATTTATTGTTTTAAAACAAATAAAAAACGATCGGCCACCACTAGTTAAACTCAGCATCCCACCCACACGTTATGTGATCAAAGATCCAACCACCACACCAAAATCATAACTGTTCAATAGTCACCATCGATCACTACCGTTTACCGTCATCAACAACCACCGGTCACCGCCCACAAATCATATCCAAAGTTGAAATTAAACCTTAAACCTAAAACCAAATTTCATATATGAAAAATCCAAAGTCAAACCTCAAACCTCAAAGTTGAAATCAAAACCACATGTGAAATCAAACATCAAAAACATATTTGAAATCAAACCTCATATTCAAAACCTTAGGAAACTTAAAAAAACAAACCCAGATTCTAAACTCACATGTGAATCCGCTACTAAAATCAAATCAACATGTTTTATGCCTAACTGAATTCCTGATTAGAAATCCAAAAACATCAGGTGAATAAATTAGGTGAAGATTTACTTCCGAAGAAACTCAAATAAAACTTCAGAAACAACATAGGTGATGACATCGAAATCAAAATCCTCCCAGGTTGATCTTTTGTGAAGAAATTGAAATTAGGTTTCTGAAGTGACCAACAATTTCCGGATCACATTGATTTTTCAATAATGTTTGAATAGTTAGGAGATGCAGCAATGAAGGTGTGGTGGTTTCGATTCCCATCATCGATGGTGGTGCTGCTCCGATTCACGATTTTTTTGCAAAGGTTGTTGGGCTCTGGTGGGTTGATGTGGTGCTGGTGGTAAATAAACAAGGTTTTCATCAGTGTGGTGGGGATTTCTCTCGCTGGCGATGTTGTTTTAAGTAGCAGTGATACAGGGATTGAGCATGTGACGATCGATCTACCTTTTTCTTTTCTTCTTTCTACCCATTTGCGTCTTGTAGCCACCACAATCACCGGTTACCACCCCTTTTTCTGAATCGAACAGAGAAAAGAAAAAGAGAGGAAGAAACCTTACATGGTAGCAGCGGTCATCGGAGAAGTGGTGAGTTTTGGTAATGTGAGAGTGTAAATGAAAGGGTGGATGGGGGATAAAACGAGGATTGGTGGGTGGGGAGGGGGCTTTTGTTTCTTTTTTTTTTTTTAATTAAAAATGATGAATAAGTAATCAAAAATCAAAAAAATATTAAGGGTAAAATAATCATTTTATGTTTCATAGGGACCAAACATGTAACAAAAATACATTCTAGGGATCTTTCGAAATAAAAAGAAGTCTTAGGGACCAAACGTATAGATTACCCCAATCCATAGGGACCATTCATATAGTTTACCCTTTTATCCAGTTAAACAAATGTTTAATTAGAAATAACATTGGGTCGACCATCCACCCTTCACCCCCACCTGTTTGAAAGCGGGAGTTCTCTCGTCTCTCATATCATCTCCATACATAGCACTAAAAAGAAACCAACTTGAACTCCATTTAGCTGCCATTGGAAAGCACCCTCACAACCGGAAAAATATACATACCTTCATGCGACTCCATTTCTCCCATTTTCCCGATCTTTCCATTGTTCCACAGCAGAGCATCACCACCGACAAACTTTTTTTTTTGAAATTCCATGAACACGAGTCATCATGTTCGAAATCTCATTTCATCACCATCAAAGTCCACATCAACCGTTGTCGGAATACTAACATGTGATGACTGGATTTTGATTTTGATTTCTTTTTCTTTACGTGAGGTTGGTTTAATATAAGGTACATAGCTGGTCAAAATCAAATAAACACTTATCGCCACCACTACCTAAGATTATCCTCATTAGTAACCCAACCCAACCCAATTTGTTTATAAAAAAATAATTTCTCTTTCCTCCACTTATACAACCTAACCCAATCCAATTATTCACACTCATTAGCAATCCAAACCAATCCAATTTTATATTAAAAAGTATATAAAAATATATATTAATATTGATTTTTTTTGTAGAGAAAAATAAATTATATATTTCGGTATATTTTATTTGATTTTTTTACCAAGTATAAAATATAGTTATTAACTAAATTAGATTTAAATATAAAAGTTAATTTAAGTCCACAGGAACACTTGGCAACATAAATAAATAAAAATACAAAAACATTTTGGTGAACGGCTCGTTGGGGCAGCTAGATCACGGGCAACTAGATCACTAACACTACTACAAAAATACCCTTTAGTGACATGCATTGCGTGTCATAACATGCACATACGAAGGAAGAACCTGTCATAAAGGAAGACGACACACATTTGTGTGTCGTAACCTTACGACAAACATTTATGACCTGCATAGATGACACACAATGCGTATCAAGGAAGCCTCTGCCATATAGGAAGATGACACGCATTTGCGTGTCGTAACCTTATGATGCGCATTTACGACACACATTGTGTGTCATAATTTTAAATGTTTTAAAAAAATATATTTTTTAAAAATATAGATTTTTTATAGGTTACTAATTTTCAAATTAAATTACAATTGATGTCTCATAACACAACATAAAATACATTATAGAATAAAAAAAATATATTTCAAACAATAAATGTACCACATTCATTAATTTAATATACTCTGTGTTTCATACAAAAGATCTATTTCATACAATAAGTGTATCATCAAAAGAAACCATTTCCTTACGCAACCTAGAAAGAGCATAAGATAATAAACCGACCTTATGTATCTTATCTTTAAATAAGTGAAGCTTTCTTGACATTTTTAGCTAGGCATGAGCATGGGCATGGGCATGGGCATGGATATGGGCATGGGCAAGGGCATGAGTATGGGCATAGGCATACACATATGCATACAAATACGCATGGGCATGGGTATAGGCATGGGCATGGGCATAGGACTAAGCATGAGCATAGACATAGGCATAGGCATAGACATTTTTAGCAGCTTCCATGGCTTCTTCCATTTCCTTTGTTAGCAGCTTCCATCATCAGCAGTACAACTAACGATTGAAATGAAGAATGAAACTTATTTATATCTACAAAAAACTTCAAGAAAAAAAAATATTTAATGTTTATATATAACAAGAACATATTGAATGCATAAATAACAAGAGCCAATAGGAAGTCATTTTCTATTCCCTTATCAGTATGTGATGATTGGGGCTGTTTATTTCCTCTGAAATAGTTTTGCCCATTTTGAAAATGGGGCAAGAAGAACTTGCAACAATTAAGCATCTGATTATGATTAAAGTAGATACCATTTTAACAAAATAGTTGCCTTTATGCAACAACAATATCAATATCATAACATTGAAAGATCACATGTAATTTTAGTGTAGATTATAAAATAACTATCCAAGAAAAGCTAACAGCTATGGCACCTTCTTTATATGAATGTTAGTAGTCATGGAATCTGCATTGTATGGCAATTTTTTATCAGGGAGTGTGAACAAATCTTCATAATATACATCCAAGATTTTAGCCAAGCGTACCTGAAAATATAACTAAGTTATATCTTACATTTATCCCAATATAAATATACATAAAATAAAAGAAGAACTAGAAAATCCCTTTTGGTGCTTTCAAGGGCAGAAATGGAAATCACATCTGCAAGCTTGGATATGGCTTGTACATCTTGAGGAACCGAAGGTGAAGGAAGTAGGGACCTGTAAATGGGAAAGGATTGTTATACCCTTCTGTCTACATACCTATTTGGATTGAGAGTAAGAGAAAAGAGAAAGGTGTTGAACCTCTCTTTAATTTGCAAGATCTTTCAAATTTCTTGTTGTTCCTGGTGTAAACAAGACAAAAGACTAAAAAATTTGGGTCAATAGTGACAGAGAGCTAAAAATAGGTAAATTATATTAAAGTATTTAAGCCGGTTCACAAAATAATAAAAAGATAATAGATGATAAGTTTTCATGATGAAAGAAATATAATCATAACTAACCTGGTTAACAAATCCTAAGCTACCTCTCATGTTTTGAAGTGAGCTCTCAGCAATGTATACAAGAACCTATAGAGCATATGTAAATTTGCCTAACAGGAAGAAGTACATCAACTCATACAACTAAATCACCAGTGGCTCCAAGGGCAGAAGGGTCATATGAAATAATAGCATAGTTATGAACAGGGTGAAGAATCTTATCGGGAAAGTCTCCTTAAGCCAACCACCAGGAAGTCTCCTTAAGCCATCCACCATGAAGTTCAAATGCAAGAACAAAACTAGTTCTCTATATGACAATTGACAAAGGGTGATTTAGTCAATACCTTAGGATGACAATGGGTAATTTAGTCAATAAAAAGGATACATAATTAATCTTAAAAGACACACCCAACCCTATGTCAGCCATAACATGGTGATCACCACCAACATACGCTGATTTTGGCTCCTCAACCTGAGTGCCAACTGGAAAATCAGAGAGATGATGCTTTGCATATTTCAACAGTTCCTCATGTTCAACTCTTGATGCATCATGTACCATACACGGAGTCCTTGTATAGTTTTCCTAATAATTTCCAAACAACATTTTCTTTCAAGAACAAAATCCACATGGAATCAATAAAAAGGATGATTGTAATACTAATAGCAGATACTCTAGTTGTTAAATGCATAAAATAACAACTTAATTTCATTTATTTGTGTATTATAGCATCCTGTATTAATTTCTTTATAGTTTCTAGTTTATAGAACACCATTGTGCTTTGAAAAATCTAACTAATGATCAATGATGACATTCTTATTTCAACTTTTTTCTTATTGGGACATTGTACTTTAAAAATCTAAATATGCAAATTGATTTGTGTTTATTTGACATTGCTATAACATGGTAGATTTTTTTAAGTATAGTGAAAGTAGGATGCTATGGTAAACAAATCAATGAAAATACAATGTTATTTCTTATTTTCTTGCATGTAACCATAAAATATAAGGTGTGAGATGCACAACTACAAAATCCTCCAAAAGTGTATTGTTTATTCTGTTGATTAAGCCTTCTGAAGCAAGAAGAGGATTGTTGGCATATTCAGCAATCTCAACCTTCACTTCTTAATCTATATAAATAATAAATAAAAGTAATGTTTTTGATCATAAAATATGTAAAAGACAACTTTCAAAAAGATAAATGACAAGAAATAAAGTGAAAAGTAAACAAGCACATGTTCTTTGACCTCCCAATACAATGACCTCCCAATCCAATAAATCTTGATTTCTTACAGAGTCAACAAGTAGCTCCACCATTTGAGGAACATAACTCCTCAAATCATCATAAGAGTAACCCATTTGTTCCCTTGAAGCAGAAGTTATCACATTGCCACCAATTTCCTCCACTTCATGTGGTGGTTGTTGAGGCCAACAAAATTAATAACCCTAAATATTACACACTAAAATAGTGTATAGTGGTAAAGGGGTCGAATCCACGGAGATTGGTTCAATTTATAACTCTATGAAAAATCTCTTTGTAAAAATACTTGTAAAATAACAATAAAAATGGGGGGGTTTTGGTGCTTTGAAATACTTGAAACAAACTAGAATTAACTATGATTTAAATAGACAATTTCAACAAAGATAAGGGTTTGATGTAAAATCAGTTAGAGAAGGATGGTTGACTTAAGGTTTCCTCACTTTAACTTTTGATGAACATATCATTAGAATCCAATGGTGTAATACTTGTTTTAAATTCTTAATTTGGCTATAGTAATCCAAGAAGCTTGAGATTACCTAGACTTTTCTTAGTCGTTAAAATGGTTAGAGAAGCTTATAACAATTTCCTTAGTCAAAGTCACAATTTCCATTAAGCATGTAATTAGTGAAAGTCAACTAGCATTAAGAACCAAAAAGTCACCAAATCCAAGAGGGGTCAAATGCTTTCACCACCATGTTGAAGGAAATGTTTTTATGATTGTGTGAAGCAAAAACAACACAAAAATCATTTGTTTCTTGCTAATTTGAGGATCCTTTACTTAATCAAGAAATTAGCCAACTAATCACCACGAACACATTTAAACTCATGAACTAAAACATGCAAGTAGTGATAAGATGTTAAAACACAAAACATTCCTATAAAGATTTAACAACATGTTCATGGATTCTTTAACATTCAACAAGAGTTCAAAGGATTCAACAAAAGTCAACCAAGATTAGTTTAGCCAAGCATGGCTAAACTCAAAGAAACAAAGTTAGAGAAGATTGTACCAAACATTAAGCAAGAACCAAGTGGTAAAAAGATGATGTTCTTGAGGTGTTCTTGGCCTTCAAAAGTCTTCAAAACTCCAGAGAGAATCTTCAAAAATTGGATGTCCAAGAGTTTGCAAAAGATAGGAACCAACCTTCCCCATATAGCTTAAAACATGAATTCCCGGAAATGCCCCTACAGGGCCTTGCGCGACCCGCGTGCTTCTGCGCGGGTGGGTTGCACGGGTGGTGCCTGACATGGGCTTATTTGAGTTTTTGGGCCTCCAAAGCATATCCCACTAGCCCAGATCGAATCTAACCACCTCCTAGCCCATTTTCTTCAAGTTTTTCTTCATTTTAAGCCCAATTTGGCTTCTCCAAATCCTCCAAAGCTCGTGAACTCACCCGATTAATAATCTACGCACACTTGAATACTCGCTCGCATCTTGCAAATTTAAAGTTTATTTCTCTCCAAGCCTTCAAATAATCATCAAGATCACTCCATGCATCATCTCCACTACCCATCAAGCCCAAAATCCTTTTTTTCTACCAAGTCCCATCGCTTCCCATATGTCCCGAACACTCCTGCTCCGCTAGACCCGATGTGACAACCCAAAGTTTTTCCATCGCCGCAACCCATTTCATCCGTAAAACTCATTTTAAGCGAATTGTTTCGATTTTCTTTTTGGATTAGGTCAATTAAGTTAAGACTTTTATTTGACCTTGTAAGTATCCAAACATGTTGGAAACATGTTAAAACACCCCAAACTAATAATTAGAAAAAATTTAGTTTCGACCATATCGGGTAACGACAACTTAATCGGGTGCGACCAAAAGCCTCGGTTAACATCAATATCGGGTAGAATTCCACCGTGTATCAAATTCAAACCATATTTAAAGTGAATTAAGACTCATTTGGATCCTTTTCACTCTCTCTCTAACCTCTCTCCTCAACTCAAGAATTTGGTCCAAAAATAATCCATTTCAAGCCTCAAAACACCAAGGTAATCATCCTAGCTTCTTGTACATCATACTTAGCCTTCAAATTCGAGTTCAATTCATGAATTAGGACCTCAAACATGTCTTTATGGCCCTAGAACACTCTTGGGCCGTGAACACATATAAATGGTGTTTTTGAGTCTCAAAACCCTTCCAAATCACCATTGGAGCTTAGATATGGCTTAAGGACTTATTGGATTGGACTTAGAACACCTTAATCATGATTTTTGGGGAGTAAACATGAGTTTACTGCACAAGAACAAGCTTGGGCCGTAAACACGATTTCATGGGGAGTAAACTCCTTTTTGGGTGTTAAAATGCAACTTACACACCTCATAAGCCCTGTAATAAAGTCTAGAAGCAACCAGAAACAAGTTAGGGACCTTAAACTTGATTAAAACAACTCCATAAGGAGTTCACGGCCGTAAACCCCCCAAGAATGGGTTCCTGGGCCGTAAACTCCTATAAATGGGTTGTTTGATGCCCTAAACTCATCCCTTGGCTTGTAAAATTGAGTAGAATCAATTGTGATTAATCATTGACCTTCAAAACACTTAAGAATGATGTGGGTGAGAGTTTACGGCTGTAAACACTTAGTTTACTGTCATAAACTCATCATTTAGTCCATATGGTTGAGTTAATTCCTTGATAATGCCCTAGAACCAAACCTAGCAACACCTCTCATTTGATTTAAGGTCATTTAGCACATAAGAACACCCCACCATGAGTTTACGGCTGTAAAATCATGGGGATGTGGTGTTTAGGGCTGTGAAGACTCCCTAGAGTTTACTCTTGAAGAGTAAACTCCATATTCAATCCATTCATGTCCATAAACGTCACCCAGGTCACTCCAAACACTTAATTTTAAGTGTTTTCGCGTCTTGGAGTGTATAATCGTATCTGATTAGTGTTTTAAAATCTAATTAGATACATTTTATGTATCATTTAAGATTAGATAGGAACCTTGCATGTTTTCAAGCCTTGATCCGACATTTAGCATCCTCGTTGACACATTTCTCGCCCGGTGAGTTCATACCCCTACCCTTTTTCAATGTTTTTCACTGTTTTAAGGGGAGGGGGGGGGGGGGAATACAAGCAAAGTATGAACTTGCAGATAATCATACTTGTACTCAAAACTTATTTTATATGTGTTGTGTTTCATAGGACCTATGTTTTTAACACTGATAATCATAACAGATAACTGTTTGAACTTGTAGATCACATTATCATAGTATTTGTGAAAAACGTTATAAATTGTTGTACTTTATATTTTCACAAATGGTTTTCCATATTATGTTTTGTATAAGGAATCATACTAATCATAAACTAAGATTAATACGAATATAACTAATAGGATAGAACGAATACGAATACGAATAGGATTAGGAATAGGAGTAGGAATACGAATACGAATACGAAATAACGCCTTTGGATGATGCCAAGACTTCGAATATACAACTAGTGTACCCCTTGGGTGTCACCAGAGTTTCGAAATTAATTTGACAATACGCCTCTGGACATCGACTGTCGACAGAGCTTCGAAAATACGTTTAAGGTACCCTTTTGGAAATCACCAGAACTTTGAAAATACTGTTAATGTGCGCTTCTGAGTGAATCCAAATATTCGAAAATACCTCTAAGTATAGCAAATAATCAACAATCGAATGTAGGATAACTAAGATATCAGAATACTTAACTAAAACTATAAGTAAGGTAGTTACTAGTACATCGAAATCTAAACTACTAATTAAGTATTAATTGGACAGTTAAACACTTAGGAAAATATGGTATTTTCCTGGAATAACGTAACTACTCGTAAATGAATTAAATAGCGAAATGATAACTAAAATACTTAGGAAAATATGGGATTTTCCTGGAATAACGTAACAACTCCTAAACGAATTAAATAGCAAAATGATAACTAAAATACTTAGGAAAATATGGGATTTTCGTTGAATAACGTAACAACTCGTAAACGAATTAAATAACGAAATGATAACTAAACTGTTTTTACATAAGAAAATTTGGGATTATCTTGGTTAGTAGCATTTTCAGAAACCAAAAGGAATCTTATACATTTTCATAAAAACAAACCGCTTATGAACTCACCAGCTTTATGCTAATTTTCAAACTGCTTGTATTCTCAGGTTCTTCTTAGACAGGTACCCTGCGTGCTTTTGCAGAAGACGGAGTGAATGGAAGTCACGTGTTTCTTTTGTTTAAACTATGTATCTATGAAACTTGTACTACTTTACTTTTCAACTGATGTAATGAAATCTATGTAATGTAATGTAATGTTTTGTGATTTACTTCGCTTACTATGTACATTGGTTATGATATTCACATGAAGTCACCTCCGCCCCGAGATGTTTCCGCCTTTGGTTTCAGGGTGTGACACCTAAAAACCTGCAATTATGCTCACAAGATTCGAAAGTACCCGAAATAGTCATAAAACAACTAAAAGGAAAATATGCATGGAAATTATCTAAATAGTGAATGAAATATGCTTAAAATAAACTATAAAAAGAAGTAAACAAAACAAACTATCATCATGCACAACATGCAAGTGGCTCCTATTAAGTGTGATTTTGAAGGCCATACGTTCAAGAACATGTGTAGCTCCATATGAAGCTAGTGTTATGTAGATTGAGCCACTATTAACATACAAGACAATAGAGCAAACTAGTAAAAAGCTAGGACTTAATCGGGAAACAAAGTCAAAAGGAAACACCTAACATGTCTGATGTTTAGTATCACCAACACCATAGCCTTCTAATAATCTTTATAACCTTGGATTTTCTCTTCACATGGTAATAGTAGAAGCGTGTCAAATTTGAATCCAAAACTGAACAAAAGTAATTAAGATTTTCATTAAACCACAAAATTATGGTCGCTTATGGCTAAAACATTAGAAAACAAGTATGATTACTACCTTTCTCTAAAATTTTCCTGATGTTGAAATGGGGATCGATGACCAAATCAGGGTCAAAATCACACCTTCGATGAAGTTGTAGTGGAGATGTTGATTCGAGCCATATATATCGCACTAAAATGGTAGGGGTTATCGATTAATAATGTTATACTATGAAGGTGAAAGTGAATGGGAATAATGAGAGGGGAAAAACATTTTTAGTGTAATATACAGAAGATTCATTTGAGCCCTAGAAGATGGTCATAGATACTTGGTGGTGCGAGATCGTAGGTTTGGTGGTGGTGTGATGTTGGTGTGGGAGAAAGGAAGAGTGGGCACTGTTGATCGAAGGTTTATGGGTACTTGACAAAGAGAAAGAAGAGTGATTGTGATATTAGGGATTTTTAAGTATTCTAGTGTCAGAAAGAGAGAGACAACCGAGGAGAGAAGAGAGAAGATTGAGGAGGTAGAAAGATGGATAAAAAGTAGAGTTGAATACAACAACTTTTAAATTTTTTTAGCATTTCATTTTCCCCCGTTAGTTACTAAAGATGAAAATGCGCGCGTTTCATTAAAAAAAATATAAAACAACATGATTTCACGACACACTTTTTATGATAGGTGCCCTCCATGTTTTTTTTTGTTATGACACTAATTTTAGGGCACACAAAAATGTTCATCCTAAATCCTTCAAATTTTGGGAGAGCTTACGTTATTTTTAGGGCACACACTTTTGCGTATCATAGAACAATGTGTGTCATGGTTCGCGTGTCATTAAAGGTTATTTTTCTAGTTGTGCAATGGGATAGTCTAATATTTCTTCACCAGAGGTTCATCGGTGACGAGTGATATGAAACTGAAACCCGACCGAGGTTTAATCGTAGACTTCTGCTGCCGAGATCTCCCTCTCCTCACATGGGTTATTTGTGTCTGGGTTCAAGGATTCGACTTTCGAGGATACTCACTTGAGGTTTTTTTGTTGACGGTCTAGAAGTAAATGGCAATAGTATTATGATGGCGTCAAGAAGATATGGCGTGACAGGCGACAAGATGTGGCAGCGCTGAGGGGGCTGCCTTAGGTTTGATGAGTACCGAAGCAGTGACGGTTGTGGATGAACATTCATTGCATGACGGTAGTGATCAGAGAGATCTTTTCTGCAGCACAGCCGCTAAAAACCACGATCTAGGGTTTTAATTTCACGATGATTCGTCTGTCATATCTAGGGAAGAAAGAGAGAAGCAGTAGAAAGGAAGGAAGGAGATGCAGCTCGATGTTGAAGATGAAACAGAGAGGGAAGTGAAGGAAGTGGGTTTTGGTGGGACCCACATGAATTTTTCATCATAGAAATTTTTCTAAACAAAAATTAAATTAAATAATATATAATTCTAAAAATAAAATTGTAAGAGTAAAACTGTTTTTTTTATCTTTAGTAAAGACCAAATATTCAAGAAAATAAAGCTTTAGCAGGGACCATACGTGTTAAAAAAAAAATAGTTAAAGATCAAATGAGCATATTACTGCAAACCACAGGGGACGTGTAATTTTCTTTCTGCTGATCTACCATGTTTTCTAATCTACCACTTTATGTTCCCATGTTCCTTAATCCTTATCTTCTTCCTTTTGAATCTCCTTGTAAAACCGTGGGGTTCTCTTAGCTACAACCTACAGGCCGGTTGGATGTATTTATCTTCAATACACATACTTTCTAACTTGGGGTCATAAAATCTTCCGGGTGTCACTGTAGGTACTAGGTATACCTTCTGGGAGGTGCTTAATGAAAAACTAAAACTTTTTATTAAGTTTATAATTCTTAAATTAAAAGTTTTTGAGAAGTTGACATTCACAATATATATAAACCACAATTTCTTTTTTCAAGAAAGAAAGAGTAAAACAAAAAGATACGATCCTAAGAAACTTGAAATCCACAAGATTTCATGCTAATACCACTATTGAGATTAGTAACACTAATAATGAGTAAATTCTGGATATGCTAAATCCTAAGGACACTCATTTTATTTCTTGAGTACACAAGTTAATAGATACACACACTTGTTATATAATAGTTACTACGAAAGATGCATTAGAACTTGAAGAAGCTGGTTGAATCCTTGCTGAATTACCGTTGGGTATCTGACTCTTAGATAATGCATGCCACTTATCAATATACCCCATTGACTCCATGTCTAAGTTGGGAAGTTGGTGTTTTTTAAGCAATTTCAGGATTTTTTTGGATCTACCAAGAAGCTGAGCTGCAATTTGAATGCTCTCTTCCCTTTTCTCTATTGCATCTTCATGGCACTTCATAGTTATGACACGTGGTAAGCTGGTAAAGCAAGCACATAGCAGATCTGCAATTATGGTTGATATAAACTCAAATAGTTCATCATCTGTTGGCCAATTTTCTTGCTCATTGCAATGAAGCAGTATGGTTTGACTGATTCTATACATGGAACTCGCAGCAATGAACTTACGAAGTGAGTAATCCAGACTTACATTTTTCCTTATCTTAAACTGTATCACAATTTTCGCAGCTTCATCACCCAACCATTGAAGAATCTCCTTTGAAGTTTTTCCATTTCTAGCAGTCTTTTGAAGATCAATTTGTAGCCATTTGCAGTGTACTTCAACATCTGTCCACACACGTCTTGCTGCTTTTCTTGCCTTTACCAACTCACCATTTGCATTGAGGCTTTCTTCCATATGTCTTACAAATTGGAGACCTTCCCTCATACTTGAAAGTAACCCCTTGACATGGCAGTTTGCAATTTTGGGAAGTGCAAGGGCAATGGCAGTTAGTGTCACTGCTACTAGGCTCCAGCAATTCTGGGTTTCTTCCAGATGTAAAGGTGGGACCTGTTCATTGTCGAACTCTACTACTCCATTGAATCCTGTAGATTTCTCGAGAAGCTTCATAAGATTCCTTGACTCTTTCTTTTCAGACTCGTGAAGAAGTCGAGTTATAGAGTTTAGCACATTTCGCAATATTCTCATTGAAAGCTTCACATCCGGATCAATCTGTAGGACATAACCACTATATTCTTCCATTTCTGATATCGCATTGCAATCAGATGCATTTGGTTCTTCAGTAAACGTTTTCAAGAAATACTTGCCGAAATAGTAACAACATGAGAATAAGATAAGAAAACATCTGGGAATAAGACTTATCATGTTACATGTAACTATAATCATTATCTGAAGTGCTATACATAAGTTCAAAATCATATTTCGGATATTATGAAAAACCTTCTTGCAACGGTGGCTTGGGATATGCGTAGGGATAGGGCTGCTTTTCCACAGCTGAAGCCTTTTTATCCAATACTTCTCGACTCGGAACACGTTTAGATGATTCTTGCTCCATTTCTTGGAGAGATTGAAATGACTGGTGGCAGATAAACATCTGAAAATTGGTGCTATACTACCTATTATCACCCCAATTGATTGCAAGATAATAATTGCACTGATTGACCACTTATAATCTGATGCATCATTCCGAAAATTTGATTTATCAACAAACTGGTCCATCAAAATAAAAACTGAAATGGAAGCAAGGATTGAGCATATAACCCCAAAAGCAGAAGACACAGGCGAACAAGCAATTGCAAATTGTGGGTTACCAGTCTCTGCCATCATCCAATACTTTTTAACATATCGTATGAGTCCCTTGCTGGAGAAGTTTATATCTTGATGATTAGAAGCCAAAATGTGTAACTCTTTGTATCGTTGTTGTAAAACTCTTCTAGTTGCTGAAACTGTCAAGGCTACTGAAATTGGCCATGGAATTGGTAGTATAAATAAAAGGATTATTGTGGCCATTGACAAACTCGCTGAAGCACTAATAACTTGGATCAACATGTTTACAGTAATGGTGAGCATGAGGATACATAAGGCCACGGTATTCAGCACAAGTTCCTTGTCATTCATAAGACCTAAAGATGGGAGAAAGTTGGCTAACATGATGACCAAGAAAGTGATACTCACAAACTTTGCTTCAATCTCATGTCCTGTCAAGGCACTGCTTAGATCTACGGGTAGCTTCGTTGATATTGCTATCAGTGTAATGGAAACAGAATTAATGGTAAAAAATCTGCATGGAAACCAGAGCTTCCATTGTTGAAAGCCTCGGAAGACATCGGCTGCCATTGCTAGAGTGCAAACCAGAGATGCTGCACAAATATACAATCCCACCCATGGCATGGCGTCTGTAGGTGATGTCCATGTCATCTTGCTAGACCAGAGAAAATGAAGAGTTAACTTGATTTAGCAATACAATAGCTAACTGATGCTTGATAAATATATACATACATAGGGGTTCAATAAATATTGCTATTTAATCAATGAGAATATGGATGGAAGTATGAAACAAACTGGCGAGAAGCTAGGAAGATATTTCCAGAAATCCGTGATCAGAATTCTATTTTCCATTTTTAGCCTGTTTGTGTAATTTTCGTTCCCTTTACTTCTCTGGGGCTTGACAATTCTAGATGTAAGCAGGTCGTTGGAACTTGGAAGCAGGATAATTAATGTAGATAAAGTTTGACCCAAAGTAAACGCGTGATGTTGCTAGAGCTTTAGTCAAAATAAATACACTAATTAACTGATGTATAGTAACAGGAAGAATAACAAAACCATAATAGTTATTACGCCTCCTTTGAAATAGTGAGTTAATTTGAATTGACTGGCTTCACCTTGATGTTGAACACAACAAATCTGGTCACCTCGAGGCTTGACCAATAAACATAGTCAAGCAATGCTGATCCGAATGAACAGAGAGACGCAAGAAAAGAAATAATATTAAAAGGAGGGAAAGGAAATGGCTGGTATTTCGACTTTTTGATGTTTGGTTATTAAAACCTAATCCTCCTACGTATTTAGATTTTTTGATTGATTTTTAAATCCACTACTATTTTGGATTGTGGATTTTAGATTTATTGTGGTTTATAAAATAAAAATCAATAATATTATTTATTTATTTTTAATATATACATTTATAAATTTACTAAAGTATTTTCTTTTAATAAATTAGAATGTTTTATCCAATATAATACTTTAAATATGTGTTTCTTATCAAAAGATTTGTCTAAGAAATATTAACTGTAACAGTTGTCTAAAAATTTTAATGGTTAATGTCATTGTGGTCCATCGATGAATTTCCAATTGCTTTAATAGGTCCGTAAAGTTTTTTTTTTAGGAAAATAAAGTCTTATTACCGGGTTTAAAATTTCACTTTGCATCATTTAATAAGATTTAATATCCACGTAATTATATGAAATATATGTGGCTTATTCTTTAGCTGCCAGCTAATGAAAAAAAGTCCTTGGTCATTGATGAATACCGGAAGCTGTCACGAGGCGAAAATGCTTCGCTGCCGCTAGCGATCCCCAAATTATTTCCTGTTACACTCATAAACAAGAAGTTGTCACGAGGCGAAAATGCTTCGATGCCGCTAGCGAGCCCAGAATTATTTCCCGTTACACTCATAAACAAGAATCGTTAGAGTCACCCCAAGACATGCGTCCTGAGAGTGGCCTCCGTCGATTAAGTTAGTGTTGATACGAAATGATGATCGGATCCTTCGAGCGAAGGGAATCTGAGTGTATGTAAGTGGGTTGAGTATGTAGAAAGAGAGAGTTACAACATACTCGAGATATGTGTTTGTGAGATGTTATATAGTCTGAAGTATATTTACATTGGGAAGGTAAATTCAAATTGTGCATTAGGAAGGGGCACAAAGCTGGAACCTTTTGTCTTGGCAACGAGCGAGCTGCAAAACCGAACTAAACCTTCTAAGAAGGCAGAACCGAACTATTAATGTAACGCCCTGGGACATATTTAATTCATTAAATGTTTATTTTATAGGAGCTACTCGACGAGTTGGTAGCCCTAACTCGTCGAGTAGAGGCCAGGCTAAGCGCGGGTTTTAATGAGGCTACTCGACAAGTCGAATCCCAGACACGGCGAGTAGGCCGGACTGGATGAAACCCTAATATTTAGGGTTTGCACCGTATTTAAGCAACATTATGGGCCTCTATTCCAACCTCCATCACCTCCAGAGCATTAATCCCGAAACCCTAATCCTCCATAAGTGAAATTGAGCTTTCTTGGTTATTTTGAGTGTTATTTGGTGTATCTTGAAGCTAGTGGAAGAAGTGGAAGACAGAAGACTCAAGGGAGAAGGAGTGTACCCACGAACTACACCCTATTTGCCATATGTTTTGGTAATCAAGTTTCCAACTTGATCTTCTTTCTCTTAGATCTATTTGGATCATATTAAGAAGGTTTTGGCTCAAAAACCTTGGTCCTTGGTGTTGGGACATCCCAAGTGGTTCATATCTCAAATCTAGGTCCTAGGAAGGGTTACATGGCATAAAGGTGCAACATTATGACCATGAGAACCCCCATTAATCTTGTAGACCTCATTTTTGGGTCTTTTGAGATTAAGGACCCATTCATGGATGTAAAGTTCTTAACTTTATGTGTTATATCAACCCTAAGAGGCCAGATCTACCCTTTGGATGAGAAGAGCTCATCAGAGATCGAGTTTATAGTCATGGACTTTAGGGGACTCGGCGAGTTGTTCTTGGTACTCGGCGAGTCGGGGATTGGTTCCATAACCTTTGTTGTTTCTAAGGAATCTGGTTGAGCCTAGAAGGGGGACTCAACAAAATGGACGTGGTTAAGGACCTGGAAATCATTGGACTCAGCGAGTGTATGAGCAACCCAACGAGTCCAAGGCAATCTCCCAACCCATGAAGACAGACTCAGCGAGTCATAGACTGGACACATTCATATGATGAAGATGAACTCGGCGAGTCGGTTGAAGATAGTCTCGATGTTATGGTTGAAGGAGAACTCATCGAGTTCTTGCTAGACTCAACGAGTATAGTCGAGGATGAAGTCACTTCGAAAGGATAGGGACTCGACAAGTTGGTGGACCAACTCGGCGAGTCAAGTCAACTGGAGGTTGACCTTGACCAAGACGTTGGCTTTGGCCAAGGGTAAAATCGTCATTTTACCATAAGAGTAGTTATTAGTTTTTTACTAAGTGTCCTTATGGAATTTATAGTCGGGGAGTCACCGGAACAGCAGGCAGGGATTTCTCGTTCGGATTTCAGCAGACATTCAACTTTAGGAGGTGACTTTTCCTCCAGTAGGAATGGGTCTAAGGCACCAATGTCGAGCCATTTATGTAGTTGTAGTATGCCGGGGTTAGCCCGATGCAGTTTATATATTTCTGGGCTTCGGTCCGATGTCGGGGCGGTCCCGAGATGTAGTTAAGTATGTGTGATGTCTTTTTGATTCATGCATGTTATATGATATGTGTTATGTGTTCCGGGCTTCGGTCCGATGTCGGGGCAAGCCCGATGTATGTAAGTTCATATGTTATATGTTATATGTTCTGGGCTTCGGTCCAATGTCGGGGCAAGCCCGATGCAGATTATGTGATTATGTTATGTGTTATGATGTATGTTATGCTATGAATGTGCCAGGATAAGCCCGATGTCAGGGAAAGCCCGATGTCAGGGTGAGCCTAATGCCCTGAAGCGGTCGGATGCCGGGGTGAGCCAGATGCAGGGGCAGGAGTTCGATGTTAGGATTCATCCCGATACAGTTGGGAGTACTCCCAGAGTTATGTTATTTGTTATATATTAAGTGAATGGTATGTGGCAGTTTAGGGGAGCTCAGTAAGCTTCGTACTTACAGTTTCAGTTTTGGTTTCAGGTACTTCCGGTAGCAAAGGGAAGAGCTCGGGATGATCGCATGGCACACACCACAATCTTCAGGCTGGGAGTTTTACTATGATATTTTGATATGAGATTTGATAGGTGATAGATATTATGAGATTTTGAAATACATGGTTTATGATTTTTATACTTTGGCAATGATATTATGGTTTTGATAATTCTTTAGAAATGAAATTTTTGGGTTGTAATTTTGGGATGTTTCAAGTTGGTATCAGAGCCTTGGTTTGAGGGATTCGGGCACACTTTCGGATGTGTCTGAACTCAAATTAAGGAAGTGGTATAAAGTTTTAAAAGAAAAACCACGTTTATAAAAGGATTTGGAGCAAAGAAAACAATTTTTTGAAAAGAATAAGAACTTTGATGTAACATCTGGATTTTCAGGTACATTATTTAATTATTATTTTTGGAGATTTTGAGAGAGACTCGGTGAGTTGATGCGTAGACTCGCCGAGTAGAGTCGCAAATTTTCATCCGAGTTAATGCCCGGACTCGACGAGTCGACTAGTGGACTCGGCGAATCCGTGCTGTTTAATGAAACCCTAATTTCCGGGGTTTGAGACCTATTTAAAGGCCTTTATGGCCTTCATTTGCAGCTACCAGTTGATAGAGAGAGACCCCAGAGTGTGTGAATGTTTTAAGAGATAAAGGAAGCCATTTTTGATCCTTGTATGGGTGATTTTACAAGAACAAGGTGACCAAGGCAAAAGGAAGCTGAAGAGGGAGCCAATCTGTGGATTTCAGAGCTTAAGGACCTCATCTTGAGGTACATATTTGATCCATTTTCAGTTTTGGGTGTTAATCCTTGAGAGTTAGGATTTCTAGCCCATTTAGAGTATGATTGTTAGTGCAATTGGTCCCCTCTTGTGTTGAGGCTTCGAAAATGGATCCAAAGAGGTCCAGAGACCTTAAATCCTTGATGTTTATTGAGTGTCTTAGAGAGATATGAGTTTTGGATGGCATATTGAGTCCATTTCTTCAAATATAGCCATGAGGTCCTTGCATGGGCATCAAGATGCAAACTTTACATGTTATTATTGCTTTAGGAGGCCAGAACTATGAGTTAGAGGAACGGATTCGACCTCAGGAGCTTATTTGAGCTCGAGCATGGCATGAACTCGCCGAGTCCCAAGAACAGACTCGGCAAGTAGGGCTAGGGTTTCCCGTAAGTCACTCAGTGAGTAACTTTTCGAGTTGGGGGAATGACTCGGTGAGTTAGAAGGGGGTAGAGGATTACAGGTGGAACTCGCCAAGTCCATAATTGAAGTTGACGAGTTATGTCGGGGTGGCCCTGTGAGTTATGCCAGGTGTAACCCGTCGAGCAAGGGGAAGGCTCGACGTGTCAGGAGAGGCTAGAGAGATAGTGGACACGTGTAGACTTGCCGATTCGCCCAAGTGCACTTGACGAGTCAGGTCAAAGTTTGACCGTTGACATTGTTGACTTTTAGGGATTGGTCAACAATGGGGCCTTTGAGTCAAGAG